CCAACTGATATTCTCTTACAGAGTTTTTTTCCACTGTTATGACTGTTGATATTTTACAGCCTATCTAGCCAGGGGGTTGTGTGGTATTGGCAACCCGATTCTTCCACCTTGTCCGGCGTCCTACATTTTGGGATACGAGTATCTAGGAATAACATTGGCTGTGATAAGTGGAGTTGTGCTGCTCTTCAGTTCCACTCCCTTAATAATTCGAATCCTCGAAAGAGTAAGAAATTAACTAAAGATTTTTCTTTCTATGACTACTACATATACTAACAATTTTTTTCACTTCAGATGAATCCACCCTCCCGTATGGTCAGTTTCGGGTAATTCTTGCAATCTTCTTGGCTGGGTTCAGCATCGCGAGAGTGAACTTGATGGTCTCGTTCGTGCCTGAGGTTCAATATCAAATGGAGCTATCACATTATGTTTGAGCTATGGAAACGAAACAGTACATGCTGCAAAACGCATCTCTTGTTTCCAGTTGTGGATATGTTATACTGATCATACGTGGAGCAACAAGATCTAGCTAGATAGTTGCAATGTGGTCTCTCTTCCTTTATTCTGCATCAAGATCGTGTTGGATGCTAATGAAGATCCCTCGACCCTCGGGTGTGATAAAGTCCTTGGAATGCATGTGGATCTTGGTGCACTACTTGCTCACGTGGTTCCTATCTACACTTAGCGGTGAGTACGATGTTATTCAGTATTTCCTTCATCACGTGGGGAGACCAATCATTGCAAGTCTGAGGTCGTTGTCGTGGATGAAGGCTTTGATGGTTCTTTGTGTCTATCTGATAATTTTCCTTTTGGCTTAGGTGGCCCATACAACTTCTGAATGTTCTTGTTTTTATGCTTTGAAACATAAAACTAATCTTGCTTTCAATACTTCAATTAGCATTGATTTTAGACATGACGAGCATTTTTACATAATACACATTACACTACACAAACAAGGGTATCAAAAGTTAGCCAAAGTTCTTACCAGAAGTTTGTTTTTATGCTCTGCATCAATCCTCTGTTTCTTCAAAGTTTTTGCAAGTTTCAGACAGGGATAACATTTCCATTGTAAACTATATAACTAGCTAGAAACCGATAACTAGAAACCAATCAGGCGATAACTAAAAACCGATAACTATCCTGCGGTTTAGCGAGCTAGTAACCGCAGAGATCATATTGCAAAAGTTGTAGGCTTTAAAACCTTTTCATACTCTTCCTCAAGACGCTCTTATCTTCTTCAACCACATCCATTGAATCAATCTCTTCTACATCATCATCTACAACAAAGAAGAAGAACCAAATCAAGACACAAAACCCACAAATCCTTTTTGAAGAAAAAGTCTTGAACCTTTTACCAATTATTGTAATCTTCTCAGACTTGATATCTTCAATTATCAGATGTTGACATGTTGCTCAAGCAACCTCTAGGAACATACCTTGGGACCCAAAGCATGAAACCCATGTTCAAGAACCAGCATCCTTGAAACAAAACCGAAATCGAGAGGACTAGGGCAGCGGAAAAATATTTAGGGAAAGAAGCAGAAGCTAGAGACGAGAAGAAGGAGACGAAAGGATGAGCTGAAGAAGGAAGTGGTAGTGGCCTTGAAGACCTAAATGATCAGTGGAGTGAAAATGAAGTAGGAAGAGTTCTTGAGCGAAGACAGAAGCAGAGAGGATTCCGACTAAACCGGAGAAGAGATCTGAGCAAAGGGTTAGATCGCAGAAGAGAGCGAAACACGAACAGATGATGAGGTGGAGGAACACGAGAAGATCTGTTCTAGGTTGTCTGGTTTGAAGGAGGAGAAGTTGAAATCAGGGAAATCTAGGGTTTAGGAGGATGATGGCAAGGAAGGAGAAGAATAGGATTGAGATAAGTTCGAGATGTTTGAGTTTAAAGGAAAAGAAACCAGAATCTTGAAGAGAAAATGTCAGGACCTTCAAGAGAATAAGACCTTATGGTGTTAAAGAGATGCCAAAGACCAAGAAATGCAAGTGAAAGACCAGGTACAAAGTGTCTCAACAACGTTCCTATTCTTATGTTTTTTTTTTAAGTTTCGATTGTTTTCAATAAGAACCCATTTGTGGTGGTGTGAATAAGGTTTTTGTGATGAAAAAGTGTTCATATATATGAGGAAATCATAGGTCGTAGCGTGACGGAAAATACCACTACAAAAAAAGCTGAGGGAAAAGAAGAAGAAAATCTGGCTTGACTAAAACGTAACACTTTAAGATTGTGGTGAAGAACCTAAACAAAGTAACATCGTTATCAAATACTCCAAACAGAGTAACGTACTTTAATTCTTATAGTATCATTTAAAGGCTCTCTTTTAATTTTCTTATTTAATCTTTTGATTTTCAAAAAAAATATAAACTTTAATATTTATAGATAGTGATGCAAAAGGTTCTTGCATGCACTTAATTATTGGCAGTTGGCACGAATTTTAGAGATGTTAAGTCGAGTGTGATTTCTTTGAATGTATAGTTTTAGATTCATCACTCATCTTTGCTTAAAAATGGTTATTCCAATGTGTCTTTTTCTTTCACCATCTTACATGACTCGCAGTTAAACCAATCAGACTATTTTGCTTCACCATCGAAATCTATGGTGAAACAGCAGTTCAAACTAACCCATCATAATCAAACATCATTTACCTGATGAAGATAAAGTATTTACAACTCTACTTTTGACCCTAACTACCACTCAAACAAAGAGTTTTCCACTCGAGGTTACATATGCTTATATATAGTCGTCAAATATTCAAATACTTATCCACATAGAAACATAGGAACCTGAAACTTCACTCAAAACACTACTAAAAAAAAGCCCCGAGAACCAGACAGATTCTCCTAGAAATGCAAGAGAGATAAAATAGTAAAAATAGAATCCCTACATGAAATTTAACTTTGGAAAGATCCTTGCAAGGATCGCTCTCATGAAAAGCTGATATCTCTTTTTTAGTCACACGTACTGATTGACGCGAAAGGCGGTGACTTTCAGGATGAAATCCCGAGTTCTGAGTAGCTCAAACACACAAACATCTCCTTCGCCTATGTTGTTCTCGAGTGTGAACTCGTACCATCCTTGGCTAAACTTAGCTCTCCCTGCTTTGTAAAGGCACCTCACTGGCCATTGTTTCTCCCCGAGCTGGATCTTGATGAAACCAGATATCCCACTTAAGTACTTCTCAGCAAATCCAGAAGGCAAATACTGTCGGGGAAAAAGGAGACGAATTCTCTAAGAAACGGGTTAAGACGATAAAGATTAGGCTCTGAATTATAATATCTGAGAAGTATTTTACCATGATGCAGCCTCGGTATAGATAAGATGGTCGCAGAACAACTCTAAAGAACGGATTTGTTGGCTCGAATGTTTTGGCAGCACTGATGGCTCTCTCTCTTTCCTCTGCAGTTACAGTTCTCTTTCTAGCAGAAGCACTTTCGTAGAACTTTGAACGGTTCTCCGAGTCATCTCCACGCGGAGTTGAAGAGTTTATTTCGTCTGCACATACCAAAAACGACGAATATTTTGACTTACCTCTGAAGAAAATTCAATAACTAAGAATATTGTCTCTGATACTTACCAGGATTAGGA